AAAAAAAAGATAATAGAGTAAATTCAGTACCATGCCATTGTATACATTTAAAAAAATTACGCCTGTTCCAACATCAAATGAATTACAAGATGTAGTACTTAGTGGGACTAATAAACATACTCCAACTGTTGTTCATAAACAATATGCTATTCATCGAATTCGTGCATTTTATATGAGAAAGGTTAAATATTGTTCACAATCATATCATGATAAATTAGCATTAATATTAGATGAGTTTCCATTACTTGATGATCTTCATCCATTTTATGGAGATTTATTGAATGTTCTGTATGATAGAGATCATTATAAACTTGCATTAGCACAACTTTCCATTGCAAAGAAATTAATTGATTCAATTGGAACAGAATATTGTAAATATTTGAAATATGCCGATTCATTATACCGATGTAAACAATTAAAACGTGCTGCTCTTGGTCGTATGACATCTGTTATTAAACAACAAAGTGCATCACTTGCATATTTAGAACAAGTAAGACAACATTTAGGAAGACTTCCAAGTATTGATCCAGTTTCAAAATCATTAATTCTTGCAGGATTTCCAAATGTTGGAAAATCATCATTAATGAATGTTATTACAAATGCAAATGTTGATGTTCAACCATATGCATTTACTACTAAATCATTATTTATTGGACATACTGATTTTAATTATACACAATGGCAAGTAATTGATACACCAGGTATTCTTGACCATCCATTAGAAGAAAGAAATGTTATTGAAATGCAATCTATAACAGCACTTGCACATTTACCATGTTGTGTATTATATCTTATGGATGTTAGTGGAAGTTGTGGATATACTATTCAACAGCAAGCACAATTATTTAAAACAATGAGACCATTATTTAGTCAAAAACCTGTTGTTCTTGTATTAAATAAAATTGATATTTGTCCAATTAATCAATTAGAAGAAGAAGAAAGAAAAATTATTGAAGAAATTAAAGGAATGTCAACATTATGTTGTGAATGTTCATGTTATAAACCAGAACTTTATGGAGAATTAAAAACAAAAGCATGTGGATTATTGAAAGAAACAGTAGCTCAAGATCGATTTAGTGGAAAGAAAGGAGAATTATTGTTAAATAAATTAAGAGTCACTATGCCAAAGAAAAGAGATGATATTGCAAGACCTGCTGTTGCAGCTCCAGTCATAAAAGAAATGGAGACAGATGAAATTGAACCAGAAATGACACAATGTCAAAAAGAATTAATTAAATATCAACATGATTTTGAAGCATATGAACGAGGAGAAATTCCATGGTCAGAATATATGAAAGAAAGAGAAAAATATATTTTGGATAATGATGAATGGAGATATGATGTTATTCCAGAAATTGTAGATGGTATGAATATTGCAGATTATGTTGATCCAGATATTGAAAAGAAATTAGAAGAATTAGAAAAAGAAGAACAAGAACAATTACTTACAGCTACCATGGAATTTGATGATTCAATGAAATTAAGTGAAGAAGATCAAAAATTATATGAAGAGATTGTTGAAGCACAAGGAGTGTTAAAAGCAGTTAGTAAAGCAAAGAAAGGAAATGAAAATAATAGAATTGAAAATATGACTAGAGGAAGAAGTAGAAATGAATTAAAAGAACATTTAGAAGATTTAGGTATAGATACAGAAACAGCACATGAAACATCAAAATTAGCTAAAAGTAAATCAAGAAGTAGAACTAAAAGTGTTAAAAGAGGAAGAGATATTCCATTTATGGAAGAAGAAGAAGAAACTGATGATAAAAGAGGTAGATCAAATAGTAGAAAACGAAGTAGGTCTAATTCCTTAATTAGAAAAGGAGAAGAACATTCAATGCCACGACAAGAGATGAGAGACAAAGCAGAAAGATTACGTAGAAAAGCAATTGATGCTTTACATCGACAAAGTAGGACTGGTGAATCAGATAGAAAACATGATATTGAACGTCCAAAATGGTTATTAGCTGGAAAAAGAACAGCTGGAACACATGATTGGAGATAAAAAGAGTATCTATTAATTTGATTGATTTTTATTCATTTAATAAGAATTTGTTTGTATTAATAGAAATAATAATAAAAAATAAAAGAATAACATTAAAAATATGAAATAATTATTGATAATCTTTCTTAAGTTGATATTCTTTCATACTTGATGTTGGTGATTGAACTAAATCACAAATCTTTTTAAGTTGTTCTTTTAAATATTGTTCTGGTTGTTTTAATTCTAAGTTTAACATATTAAATGTATATGTTGGTTTAATCTTAAACATTGCTAATATTCTATCTGTTAATTCAGTTTCATTCATTCTAACTCTTTTATCAACAATAATATCTTCTCTTTTTCTATAAATATTAATTGGTTTATGTGGAATTTCATCTTCTGAACTTTCATCATTAATGACTAATTTTGGTTTTTGTTGTTTTATTATAATATCATTTCTTCTAACTATTGGTTTTAAATACATTTCTGATTTTCCATAATTTTTAAATGCTTGGTTTGTTTGTTTAAGAATAAAAATTGGATCTTTACATTGTGTTTTAAATAAATCATACTTTTTCTTTGTTTGTTCATCTTCTATACTTAATTCTACTAATTCACCATATTGATTAAGTCCAATTGAATCATTAAGATTATTTCCTTTTTTAAAATGTTCAACAAGCATTTTATTTAATTGAATAACATATAATCTTTTTCTTCTATCACTGTTTTCAATAGGTTTTAATTTTGGTCTCATGTCTTCAAAAATATCTTTTTGTGGTTTATTTTCCATGTTAGAATTATGTAATTCTTTCTTAGTTGTTTTTTTTTTCTTTGTTTTTATTAAAACTTCTCATATATTCATTAAAAAATTGGTATAATTAAATAAAAGAAAATCAATCAGTTACACCTCTTCTTATCAATGTATCATTATTACTTAAGCTTCATCCATGTGTTTATTAGCATCTTTCTCAGATATACTACTTGTTTTTGTTTTATTCAATAATGCTTTACGTTTAAGATTTTGAGTATAAGCAGGAATAGTGGCTTTTCGTGCTCTTAATTTTAATAATGGTAAAACATCTTTATGTCGTTCAATAAGAGCTAATCGTTGTTTCATTTCATTTTGTTTTCCTTCTCTAATACGGTCAATGTAATGACTTAACTTTCTTCGTTGACGAATTTCTTCAATACGTTTCATAGCAATAATTGTTTTTGCATAAAGCTCTCTATTATAACGTACAGGTCTATTTCTTTTCATCTCAAAATCGAGTGTTTTATCTACTGTCATTTCTCTTCCTGTTGTCATTCGGTATGCTTTTGTCCATTTGAATTTACGTGGATTTCTCTTCATCTTGAAACTTTTATGACATTTCGATCTACAAAACCAAAATACTTTTGCATCATTTCTTACAAACATCATCCCATGTCCGGGATAAATATTTGCACCACAGAAGTAACACTTCTCAATTCTCATTATCTGTTTTTTTGTTGTCTTTTCTTTCTTCTTTTATTTTTTTAGGGTTTATTATAAAATAATGTTTTATATATCAAATTATATTGATTGACGTTTCAACTGATGAAGTTTGTCATTCATCTTGTGATGAAAATAAACCAAGATATTTAAACAAACTGAGAAATGAACAAAAACAAAATCATGACACCTATCATCATATTTTATAAAACAAACTCAATGACTGACTTTTTGCCATTATTTATTGAAGATAATCGTTTTAGTGTTATTAAAGTAACAATCATTAACCAAATTCAATCTCAATTTCCTGAAAATAAAATCAATAAAACAAGCATAAAATTCTTTATAAATGGTAATCAAATCCAACAAGAAAGAGTAGTTGAGACAAACACCTTTATTTATGTCACATTCTCCTTTGTGACTGAAATTATAATACAAAATGAATCATCTTTTGAAACTGATGTTTGTGATAATTCTGTTTCAAGTACAGAAGAAGAGCCTAAATCCTTTTCTTTCTTTTTCACTGACATAAAACCTTTTTATTCTTCTTTTCACATTGAAGATGATAATTCTTCACCAATGTTTTTTAAAACAATTGAACCATATTATGTGAATGTTTAACAATGAGAGGTAGAAGTTTTTAAAGAATAAAGAAACAAATAAACAATGAACAAATTTAAATTTATTCAAATAATATTTATCAAGAAAGTCAATTAAACTTATTTCTCTTTAATAACAGTAATTAATTACTTTGTGTTTTTTCATTTTTTTTT